CACGTGCAACTCATTGATCTGCTTGTGCAACTGTAGTCACTTGACATCCAAATCAGGCATGCAGTTGCATATGAGCTTTCGTGTGCATAGCTCTGAAAAACTGGGCCACCAACTTTACCCTCACTGACTCCAAGGAAAAAGAAATGTGATCTACTCTACAATCCAGGCATTTCATTTTTCTTTTAACAACCCATTTCTCCTTGTGAATTTAAATACTTGTCTCTATCAGCATAAAAGGTTAGCAACAATAGCTACAATCTCCCACTCATCCAGAAATACAATAAATCATGTGAATACTGTGCTTTGCACTTCTAGACCCCTTTTCATTTTAAGATTACAAAGAGGTTCACCAATATGAAGGTTCAGAATGTGCCAGCAAGGGAGGTGTTACACAGATGGATAGAGTTGAGGCACAGAAGGGTTAAGAGAACTGTACAAGATCATTCACAAAACACAGGCAGAGGTATGAATAGGACCCGTGAGCCCTTCATTCCCCCACATTGTCTAAGCACCTACATGCTCTTAATGCAAGCCTTTTCTACATGGACTAAAACATTTCTTCATTTTCCAACTCTCTTAGCTGTCCTCTTAAACTGCAGCAAAAAGGAAACAAAAAAATGTTTTTTGAACTGTAATCTACATTGAATTATGACCATACAATGAGAAACCTTCTTTAGAGCCATCTGCCAGTAAGAAAATGTGGTTACTGAATATTTGCTGATGCCTAAGAGGAAGTGGATGTTCAAGGGCACTGCACAGTTAGAACAAAAACAAAAATATAGGTCAGGCAATTCACATGGGTTGTAAAGGACAACAGCTCTGCAGTTCTGTATTACTTCATGCAAGTACTACCAAAATCTGAGGCATTCTTTTTATCAGATTCAAACCCCACATTAGTAATCCATGATTAAGTTTAGAAGGTGTGAAATTTCATTAGGTTGCTCAATTTTAAGCACATTGGATAATGAAGTTCTGTCATCCTTCAGAATTAAGAAAAAATTAATACTGTAATTTTTATCTCACTTCCAGCCTTCCGCCATCTGCAAGATTACTCTCATTCATGTACTACATCCGTGTCTTACCGCTTGATCTATGATGCATTTATAAAGCACGTGGCCTTATCAATCAAGGGAGTTTAGCTGCTTGTAAACGTCAACAGTAGAGAATAGCATGGCTGAACCTGCTGACCATTTTGTGAAAACTAAAACCAAAATAGACATAAACATACTTGTTTAGCCAAATTAAAGATAAGAAATATAGGTTGTTTTGATGTGAAGAAGGATAACAGTGTGACTGCATTTTAGGAAACACCAGAAAGATTCTAAGGAGACGAGAATTTCACAGAAAAATCTCTGGATAATCTAAAAATATCACAGACGATCATATTTCTGTTGATAAAAGAATTTTAATGAATTGCAGCCAATTCAAAGGGATTTTGCCAACTTGCCTACATGGTCCTG